AAGGCAGAGACATCTTCAGCTCATCCCCTGTTTGGGTATCAGCCAGCACGTCAATGACTTAAATCTAGAAATAGTTTTCTAAGATCTACAGAGACACTCGCTGGAACACCTCAGCAAGCGAGAGTCCAAAAGTGGCAGGCTCAAACCCAGAACCTCAACCAATGGCTGATACCAAATGAGAGACTCCCTCCTGGGCACACGGAAGACTGGGTGACTTGGAAGGCGCTGAACAGACTGTGCTCTGGCACCACAAGATGCAGAGCCAACCTTCAGAAATGGGGCTACAAAGTGGAATCCTTGACATGTGAGTGTGGAGAGAAGCAAACCACTGACCACCTGCTGCAATGCAACCTGAGCCCTGCCACATGCACGATAGAGGACCTTCTTGCAGCAACACTAGAAGCACTCCAAATGGCCAGATACTGGTCAAAGGACATTTAATCAACTACCAAACTCACAAATTTTGTATTTTGTCTGTTTGTTTGCTTTGCTCTGTTAGAAATGTAATATAATTGACTGGTTGCCCTGACATGACAAATAAATAAATAAATAAATAAATAGTGAAGTTATTAAACAAAAGCTTTTTCCCTAATTAGTGCTACTTGTGTTTATTACCAGAAATAAAATTCACAAGAGAGAATCAGCATGTACTGCCCAGTAAAGGATTCTAACATCAGTTTTTTTATTGCATTTTGAACATACTGGAAGCTATCCCAGAAACTTAGGTAAGTAAGCAAGTATACATTTTATTTAAGTAAACCATTCTTATGTGTTTTTATAAATAGACAGAAGAGTCAGGAACACATACCTAAAATGCATTGTGAAATCTCATCAAAACTGAACAGAATATAGCTTTGCCACTGAACTCTTTCTGGATAAAAGTCGAGTGGCTCTACTGAACTCCAGTTTCTGCAAATGTCAGACCATGGCAATAAGAAAACTTTGCTGCAAGCTGGGATCAGTCAGGAGAGACGTTGATTCCTACAATAGCACTCAGATTCAGGAACCCTGCAAGCATATTGTAATGTCAACCATAACCTTGTCCTTTAGATCTTCAAGAGGGCATGAGTCAGAGTAGTGTAGAAATTCAGACTACAAAGGCCCGCAAAAATGTTCTAATCTTCTTCTGTTTTAAACAAAATTGGGAAGACAATAGAGCACTTCATTTTTCAAACCCAAATCTTCCAAAGAATCTACAAATACCATCTCGGACATGTAAGCTGGCAGAAATAACAGTTTTCCTGAGTCTATGTTTTCAGAGAACAAAACCATGAATATAGGTAGAAGATTAGTAAGGGAAACATAAGGATTTCACCCTTTCCATGAAGTCTCATCTGGAAACTCGGCCACACTCCACTTCCCCTCCTGCACCACATTTTAACTTGGAATAGGGCTGGTTTTAAATTAGTTTGGGGAGCATTTACAGAGAACTCATCTTCCACCCATTACATCTTTTACAAATCTAATAAATATTCTATTCTCAGCACTAGTACTATGGGATCCAAGTGGCCACCATTTCTATACTGACTCCACATTAGAAAGTTCTGCTGAAATTTGTCTATATTTCAGGAAACAAGCTGATAAATAAGAATTTAAATGGTTTGAGCACTAATATTTTAGTTAATGTTTTATTTCATTGACATACTTGCTGTTATGTGTTTCCATATGATTTCCAACCTACAGAATCCCTGCTATAGGATTTTCTTGGCAATATTTTTTCAGAGATTTGTCAATGCCTTCATCTAGCCAAGATCACACCGTGGTTGAAAGGAAGTTTGAACTTCAAGAGTCATAGTGCAACAGTACATTGCAAAATTGTACACAATAAAATCATTTAAAACTTTTTTCAAAAAAATAATTTCATTACTTTTAAAGGTTACCTATCTATATATACAGATTTGACAATGCCATTAAATTCAAGAGCTTGAATAAAAATCCATGTTTCAAATCACTGCCAGAATATGCACCTGTGCCAATTAGGCCTCAAGGGAGAGCGATTGCCTCGCCTTCCACTGTGTTCTAACTGGCATGAAAAAGAGGAAGCCCCCTCTCCACCAGACCTCAATCCTCAGTCAGCTACATAAAAGGAGAGGCAGTCCATCCTTCAAGCATCAAAGCAGTGAGGGCTACACTGATCATTGCCAGCACTCTGACAAGAATTTTAGAATCTTTTTCTTTTGTCCTTCACTTAAGATCCTATGGTGCAGATTACCATCAAAGTGTTTGTCTCTACCATAGTTCCTTTTAAAATAAAAATAAAGTCAGCCTGCCATATCCAAGGTTCCCCATCCACAAATTCAACCAAACATTGCTCAAAAATATTCATGGCTGGAGCTGTCCGAAACGCAAACCTTAATTTCCCCACTATACTGATGTGTAAAAATTCCCTTTTTACGCATAGCCTGATGGTAATTTTATAGACATTGTTTTATAACTTTGTGCATGAAACAAAGTTTGTATACAATGAGCCATCAGAAAGCAAATATGTCAGAATTTCAGTGAACTATTTTTGCAAATTTTGGGAATTCCAGACAAAGAATGCTGAGCACCCACAGATTTTGTCATGAAGGTATGTGTTTCCATCACCAAGTCCCACTGAATACGAAGGGCCCAGGATACCCCTTTTTCTAAATGTAAAAATTGCACCACAAGTCCTTCGCCTTACAAGTTCTCAGTTGCAAGGGCGATACTCAGTATAGAATGTATGTATGTGTCCATATCTTTTATTAGGGGGTGGTTTAGCATCCAGTTTCCTAGTAAAACCGAATTACTGTGTTGTGAGATGATGCATGTCTACAAGTATGTCACCAATATGAAATGTTTGGAAACTGCTGTAACCACTTCTAGAAATGAACTTGAGCAGATATGAAAGCTAGTTTGGACTTAAGGTCCTTGGGGTGCACCCACACTGCAGAATTACAGGCAATCCCCGAGTTACAAACATCCAACTTACAAATGATTCCTAGTTAAGAATGGGGGGCAGGGGAGGTGAGAGACAACAGGAAGTAGGGGACATCTATCTCTCGGAAAGGAAATTCACTCCTGAAAGAGTTATTACCTGGGGGAAAAGGCGTCTCCACTGATGCTTTTCACCAATCCCCATTTTCACAAGCAGCCATTTTTTTCAAAATCTAATTCTCACAAGAACAGAAAGTGAGGTGAAATATTCTAAACAGGGGCACTGACAGCAAAACAAACACCACAGGGATGCTATACAAAGTGTGCGCGTGCGTGTGTGAGTGCTCCTTCACCTAGATATTGGAGCCCTGTCAGTTGCCATAAATCCACCTCACATTTTAATTGCCTTTTTAGCTACTAGATTTTATCAGGTGGCATGCATGTGATTTGTTGTATTATGTTTATCCAAGTTGGTTTATTTTGATTATTTTGGTTTGTTATGATTTACCAGGTGGTGCAGCATGTAAAACCACTGAGCTGTGGAACTTGATGACTGAAAGGTTGGCAATTCGAATCCAGGGAGCAGGGCGAGTTCCTGCTGTTAGACCCAGTTTCTGCCAACCTAGCAGTTCGAAAACGTACAAATGTGAGTAGATCAATAGGTACTGCTCCAGTGGGAAGGGAACAGCGCTCCATGCAGTGATGCTGGCCACATGATCTTGGAGGTGTCTATGGACAACTTCAGCTTAGAAATAGAGATGAGAACTACCCCCGAGTCAAACACAACTACATATAACAGGGGTCCTCAAACTAAGGCCCGATGGAAGAATACGGCCCTCCAAGGTCATTTATTATTGGAATGGAACAATGGACAATGAGTTCGGATGCTGATTCTATTGATGAGACGTGATGGATTGTTATAGTGCTGTACTGTTGTATTGATATTTTGGTGTTAATTAATTGATACTACTGTTTTAATTGATTAATGATTTTGTATTGTGTTGTTGATACTGGTTGTTAACCGCTCTGAGTCGCCTGAGGGCTGAGAAGAGCGGTATACAAATGAAGCAAATAAATAAATAAATAAATTTACCCAGCCCTTGCTCAGGGTCAACCTAAGTCTGAAACGACTTGAAAACACACAACAACAACAACAACAACAACCTTATCTCATCAGCCAAAAGCAGGCCCACACTTCCCACTGAAATACTAGTAAGTTTATATTTGTTAAAATTGTTCTTCATTTTAATGATTATGTTGTTTTTAAGTGTGTTTGCACTACAAATAAGATATGCGCAGTGGTCATAGGAATTCATTCATGCTTTTTTCAAATTATAATCCGGCCCTCCAACAGTTCGAGGGACTGTGACCTGGCCCTCTGTTTAAAAAGTTCGAGGACCCCTGACATATAATGTCAAGGAGAAAACTTTACCTTTTTATTATTAATAGTTTATACTGCAGTTGTTTCATTTATTGTCCTTGATTTGATTTGTCATTTCTATGTTTTTCGACATTGAATGTGTGCCACTTTGTTGGAAACTGCCCTGAGTCTCCTTGGGGAGATATGACAGGTTACAAATAAAGCTGCTGCTGCTACTACTACTACTACGATTATTATTATTATTATTATTATTATTATTATAAAATAAACACACACACATATATATTTGGCTGGAGTTAACTTTAAAAATGCACCTGTTCTGACTTACATGCAAATTCACTTTAAGAACAAACCTACAGAACCTATCCTATTAGTAACTTGGGGACTGCCTGTACACCAGTGGAACTGCCATGGCTGAATGCTATACAATCATGGGAGTTGTGTGTTTACGAAGTCTCCAGCTTTCTTTGCCAAAGGGTGCTGGTGCCCCATCAAGCTACAAACCCCAGGATCCCATAGTACTGAATCCACGGCAGTTAAAGTGGAAATGCACCCCTGGACTTAATTTCCGGGTCCCAGGGATGCCCGAGACACTAAAACTTGTCCTGAGGGGGCCACTTTGGGCCTGCCAGTCTTCCCAGCAGCCCAAGGCCTGGCCCAAGAGGAAGGGCGAAAGAGGACCCTGAAGGGGAAGCGGGCCCCTCGCTGCCCTGCTCCGTACCTGTTATGCCTCTGCGCGGCGGAGGCGTGGGTATAATAAGCCGCCCTGCGCTGGGTGCTGCGCGGGACCGGGTGGAGGGGGATTTGGTCCGCCATTTTTCCTCCCTCTCCCTCACTCCCTCCGCTCGCGAACTGGCCTGAGTCGTCATCAGCGGCGCCCGCTTGACGTCACGCTGCCGCGCAATGCGCCGGCGACAGAACCAGAAGCGAGCGCGCGAGAGAGAGCGAGCAGGCGAAACCGGGAAGGGGGGGGGAAAGGGAGGGGGGGGGGAGAGAGAGAGATGTCTAAGGAGAAGGCCGTAGCCAATCAGCGCCTGAGAAGCGCTCGCGCTCCTCCTCCTCAGGAAGGGGAAGTTTGGCGGCTGAGAAGGGAAAGTGAAAGCCACCAAGGGCTTGGCTGTGTGAACACTGGAGAGGCATGCTCTAGATCAGGCCTGGGCAAACTTGGGCCCTCTAGGTGTTTGGACTTCAACTCCCACCATTCCTAACAGCCTCAGGCCCCTTCCTTTTCCCCCTCAGCCGCTTAAGCGGCTGAGGGGGAAAAGGAAAGGGCCTGAGGCTGTTAGGAATGGTGGGAGTTGAAGTCCAAAACACCTAGAGGGCCCAAGTTTGCCCAGGCCTGCTCTATATACCACTGCCTCTATATATACATACACATAGAGTGGTATATGGAGGGTGTCTCTCTCAGCTGTTCACTGAGGACCTCCAAAACAGGTGTTGCAAGTTATTTCCAAACAAGCCAAGCATTGCAAGGTAAAGGTTTTTAAGATCACTTCAAGGGGTGCTGTGTCTTTTAACTTTGGAATTTGTTTTCACGATTTTTAATTGGGAATTTTAAAAATACGATTTACATTTTGTCCTGTTTATTTAAAACAGGGGCCCTCAAACTTTTTAAACAGGGGGCCAGGTCACGGTCCCTCAAACTGTTAGAGGGCCGGATTATAATTTGAAAAAAAAAACACAAATGCACACTACACATATCTTATTTGTAGTGCAAAAAAAAAACACTTTAAAACAATACAATAATTAAAATGAAGAACAATTTCAACAAATATAAAATTATTGGTATTTCAATGGGAAGTGTGGGCCTACTTTTGGCTGATGAGATAGGATTGTTGATGTTGTTGTGTGCTTTCAAGTCCTTTCAGACTTAGGTTGACCCTGAGCAAGGGCCGGGTAAATGACCTTGGAGGGCTGCATCTGGCCATAGTTTGAAGACCCCTGATTTAAAACATTTATATTATTTATTTATTTACAGTTTTTATATTCCACCCTTCTCACCCTGCAGGGGACTCAGGGCGGATTACCATGTACACATATATGGCAAACATTCAATGGCAATTTTTGACATACAAGCATATACAGACATACACAAAGGCTATTTTACTTTTTCTGGTCGCCAGGGGAGCTGTCGCTTTCATCATCCATCTGCGACACTGATGAAGAACTTCCGCATGCTTCCCCGCTGGAATGCTTTGCTGGAGTCTTCTTTACGGCCTCATAAATCAGTTAATTTAGCCTCCCCACACTTTAAGGTGGTACCTTATTTTCCTACTTGACAGATGCAACTGTCTTTCGGGTTGCAAAGTCGACAACAGGCTACACACAATTGGTTGGAAACCCACTCCAACCCAGGCTGGCTTCAAACTCATTACCTTTTTGTCCGCTCTTCTCTCATCAGAACCTGGGACAGATATAAAAAATATTTATATTCAAGCACACCGCTATGGATTTCCTCTACGGAGGCTAAACAGAGAAGGCTGCTGGGCTGGACAACCTGGCCGTCATATAAGGACCTTCTGAGGAAGGGCTCAACGGAATTGAAGCCACATGAAGAATTAAAACAAATCTTTCCTAAAATCTCCTGGTTGAATTACCTACAAATAAAAGAACAATATAATCTCGATAAAAGGCAAGGTTTTCAAATAAAAGAAGTGTTCTGGGACAAGTTTATGGAAACGGAAACAAAATGCATAACAAAACTATACGATAAGCTACTTGAATGGTCAACGGAGACAGAAGCAATAAAAAATTGTATGATTAAATGGGCTGAGAATTTCAAAAAACCCATAGCATTATGCGACTGGGAAATAATGTGGAACAAAAAGCTTAAATACACCTACGCAATGGACTTAAAAGAGAACTGGTGGAAAATGTTCCATAGGTGGTACATGACCCCTGTCAAATTGCACCACATGTATAATGGAACATCGAAAGCCTGCTGGAAATGCGCAGAACAGGATGGTAGTTTTTTTCATTTATGGTGGACGTGCCCAGTTACCCAGAAATATTGGAAAGACATTCATAAAGAAATGCAGTTAATTTTTAATAAAAAAATTCCGAGAAAAGCAGAATACTACCTTCTCGGAATCACAGACATGGAAATAACTCTCGACCCCAACGAAGATATTTTATTTATGTACCTCACAACAGCTGCCAGGATGGTCTTTGCAAAATTTTGGAAGCAGAAAGAAGTACCAGACAAATTTGAGTGGATAAAGAAGATAAATGAAATTAAAGACATGGATAAACTAACTTTTTTACTCAAAAAAAATACTGGCAACCCAATTAAACAGACAAACTGGTCAATAATAGACGAGTATATTGGAAGTGGGTACAAAATTACTTAATGGAACTGAGGTAGCAACAAATTGGAAAGAAGAAAATATAAATATTAGACACTAAATAGAATGTATACGGACAGAATCAGAAGGAAGTCCTTTTTGTGTGTGGTTTTTTTTTTTTTTTTTTTTCCTCATATTTTTGGATTTTTCTGGTATTTTTGGGTATTTTCTTTTTTCTCTTGCACATATTTTTCTAATCATTCATTTGTATTTAGTCTCCTTTCACTATCAATTTCCTACTTTACTATCTTCTTGACAATATTCCCCCTCTTTCGCTGTATTCAATAAAACTTAATAAAATTTATTAAAAAAAAAAAAAGGCAACCCCACATAGAGCACATTGCAGTAGTCTATCCTGAATGTAACGAGAGCGTTTAGATGTTCATATATTTGCATATATTTCAGCGTGTCTTTGCCTTTGATGAATGAACACACCATGTCCGTCCCAGTACATATCTGTCCTCTTGATGCACTTTCTCTCATCCCTTAGTGAAAGTCAACCACATTGTTTGCCCTTCTGAGTTCTCCCCAGATACACATTACTCTATTTACCTAATCTCACCCAGGGTTTTATCAATTTTATTTTATGCATTTGGCCCGCCCACTGTTTTTATTCTTCCACTATTTTATTTTGTGTTGTTTATTTTGTATTTGCTGTTATTGTTTTATCAATTTTATTTTATGCATTTGTTGTTTTTTACTTTGCTGTATTATAATCCTTGGGCTTGGCCTCATGTTAGCCGCCCCGAGTCCCTTTGGTGAGATGGTGGCGGGGTTTAAATAAAGTTATTATTATTATTATTATTATTATTATTATTATTATTTTAACCAAATCCCATTATTATTATTATTATTATTATTATTATTATTATTATTATTATTAAAAGAACACATGAGAACCATCTGCAGATGTTGAAAAAGTACACATCTGGGACAAATCAAGCAAAAATATTTGAAAATCTTGAAACCCATTCAGTCTTTAATTGTGTAAATCTATTTCCCTATAAAGTATTCTGTTACTAAGCGGCTTTGAATGGCCACATAAATTTAGCTTTTACGTAATGTTATTTTTGACTGAAAAGGATTCCTGCACCTGCATCCAATAACGTATTTTATTCAGAATAGCTCAAGATTTTGATGATCTGTTCAGAAAAAAAGGTTTGCTTAAGTGCTTGATGAACAAGAAATACACACACATACATGCTCACACATATACATACATACCATATATTAGGTACATGAACTATAATTATCCATGTTATTCCAAGAGAAACATGAAACTGAAGGATGCATGAATCATCAGTGTAAGGCTTCCATTATTGTGATTCAGGAAATGTGAAATGGTAAACAGTACTGAAGAAAATCAACTCATTTGAAATGAAGAGAAGAATTCTAGGAACCACATGGACTGCAACAAAGACAAAGACATGAGTCTTAGAGTAAATCAAGACTGAACCAAAGCGCAACCCCAAGTAACCCCACATAAAGAGCAACTTAAGCATAACAATTATAATTTTAATAAAACATAAATCAATTGAAAATTATAACTAACATAGCACTTGAATATAAAACATCCAAATTAATAGGTAACAGTCAATAATAGCTATAGTCATTATGTGACAGCTAAGTAAATGCATTTGTGTTGAAGAATAAATGTTATAAAAATGATTTAATCGGTTACAGTTTCCATCCTAAATTACAGGTTTTATGTAAGGTGTTCAAAAGGCCTTCCCTGTCCAGCAATACACTGCTCATATTGTCAAAGCACTTGTAATTTTGCAATGCTTCTGTATTATTTGAAAATGTTAATCCTGTTAAGGGTGAATATATTTGGGGGGGGGGGGGCAGGGGGTATATAAAAATATCAGTATTATAAAGCGTAGACTTTTTATAGGAAAAATGCAAAATAAATCCCAGAATTATAAGATGTTACAGGTGTTAATATGATGTAGTTATGTTTTTGATCCTAATGATGTACTTAGAAGTAAATTCTATTTGAACTCCTTTCTAAGAAAGTAGATTAAAAATAAATCTAAAGAAATGTTGTTTTGTACCGCTTATCTTATAAACAGGGTTGAACATTTGCCCATTAAGCTGATACTCATACTGCTGTTATGCAGAGTATCTTTCAAGGACTTCCCTTTGGTAAATGACACTTTTCTGTGGATTTGCAGGATTTATTGATGTCTAAATCTCTTCCTGTAGGCCATTCTCACCAGGTTGCAAGTCCCTGAGCAACATCTGCACCAACCATGCCTGTCCTTTGAATGTCTTTCTTGGTACTTTTCACCCAACTTCATTTTAAAAGAGCTGTTGACAATTATGATCAAACTTTGTTTCACTCACCATTACAATATTCAGTATAGTTATTTCTTTTTTTATATTGTTGTACCAATATTATACTCCTGTGCAATGTCATTTGGGATTAGCTACAATAAATTATTTTCTAACCTTGCTATTGTTTAGGCAAGGTCTGCACTTTGACAATTAAGTAGTAAGTTATGCTGTCGAAAGCTTTCATGGCCAGAATCACTGGGTTGCTGTGAGGTTTCCGGGCTGTATGGCCATGTTCCAGAAGCATTCTCTTCTGGAAGATGTCTCACCCACATCTATGGCAGGCATCTTCAGAGGCTGTGAGGTCTGTTGAAAACTAGGCAAGTAGGATTTATATATCTGTGGAATGTCCAGGGTGAGAGAAAGAACTCGTGTCTGTTTGAGGGAAGTGTGAAGGTTGCAACTGGCCACCTTGATTAGCATTGAATAGCCTTGCAGCTTCAAAGCCTTGCTGCTTCCTGCCTTGGGAAATCCTTTGTATTAGCTGGCCCTGATTATTTCCTGTCCAGAATTCCCCTTTTTTCTGAGTGTTGTTCTTTATTTATGTTCGCCATCCCTCCAACCCTCCCATTTCCTTTCCTTTGCTCCTGGCTTCTCCTACTCCCTTCTTTCTCCCTTTCATTCCACTTTCTACCTTCTTCCTTACCCATTTACTTTTAAATTATACAGTTTTGCTAAGATGGGGTGTAGATAATGATTGTGTTAGATAGTAATAATTTACAGACCAAATGTGGCTCCTGTTTGCAAAACATATTCCAAACATTTTCCATTTCTTGTGACTTTTTATCCTGCTTTTCACATCATTACAGTTCCTAGAATTTAAAGGGATCTAGATTTGCAGTTATTTGTAACTATAATTCACTGCTAAAGCTTGCTTGCCAGCCACTGATGCATTTCCTCAGGCAACCCAAATAGATTCTGTGCTACTAGTTGCAGAATCAATTTTCAGCCTCTGCAGCTCAGAAAAATCAACTTCTTTTGCTACTTCCTCTTTAGAGCCAACATTGTCCTTCTAGGTTGCTTTCTATATTTATTCATTAAACTGCACCTTCACTGGGTCAGCATATATAATAGGATGAGATCCTAGAATGCAGAAATCTTTAGTGAGTGTATTTGCATTAACTAAAAGCGATCGCAGAACAACTGTATAAACTTGGGCTATAGATAGGAAGTCCCATTCTTCTGTATTTTTGTCTGTTATTTTTTTTTTTTGCTCCAGCTACTGAAAGAGGAATGTGGGAATGGTATCATTTTCACCATTGTACTATCTCAGCATTATACAATCCAGTTATGTTGTATGTGTATACAAGGTCTGTGAAACCACAATGCCTTTGTTAAACTGTCTCCATGAAGTCTCCATTTCCTTACCAAACTGCTGTTGTGAATTCTCTTAACGTTTGCTAGGGTTCTCCAGTTTCAAGCGTGCTATTATTTATACCATGTCTGCAAGAAAATCAGGAACCTATAGCCAATGATGCAGTGCCAGCATAGTGTAATGTGTTTTTTCTTTGTTCACTCCCTTCAGCCGTCAGCATTATCTCAAAACTTACCCCAGAGGGCTTCCAGAAGCAAGATTTGGCTGCAATAAGAGATCAGTCCCCTGATCCAGTTGTGCTGATGGAAACCATTTTCTTAGCAGATGTACAATAGCTAAGATATGGTACTGACATTACGGTGTACATCAGTACCTCTCAGGCTATTGATATAGAAGACTGGTAATTTTTGTTCTCTAATGTAATAAAGATCAGCACTATGTTTGTGTTGCAATTGTTTCCTTTTTTTTTTAACTGGAAATGCTTTATGTATCAGCAGCAATCAGAATCCAGACTAGAGCTGCCATTTTGAGTGGCATTGGTTTACATTATATAGTATTAACACTATGGTCTATTATAGTATTTACTGCTTTTTTACAATATATTGTACCATTTGTTTCAGCAAGTATAGTTTATTGTAAGTACTCACTGAAGAGCATGTAATGCTGCCTGGATCAGTGCCTAAATGTTGCAGGCCTCCAAAAGGTCCATTGAGCCTGCAATTGTTCCTCCTCTCCTTTTAACCTAAAGAACCTGTTGAGTGATTTCAGTAACTACTATAACCATGGGTCCAGAGCCCAGCACACCATACTATCTCAAATATTGAATCATGACATGAACCAGATTGAAGGCAAAAAGAACAGAGGTTTGTTCTTTCAGGTCCAAAAGGGATGTCAGAATAGAGTCTCTGCTCCCAAAGATTTGACATCCCACATTGAGAAATACAGAGCATATTTATTCTTTTTGACAGACATTTGGAATATACGTTCCAGCGCCATATTGGCTGAGAAATGGCCCAGCTAGGATCTGGGCTCTTGTTGGCTGGGGATTCTCTCTGATGACATCGCTGGTTGGTGTTCTCCAGTGGCTATATATATATATATATATACACACACACACACACACACACACACACACACACACACACACACATATACACACAGCTGTCATTTGTTGATTCAACATCTTAGTCCATTTATTGCTCCGCCCATGAGAGGGGCGCAAATCCCAGGAATGTTGTGTGGCAACATGTACATGAGTTCCTGATTGATTTAACAATTCGGTTTGGGTATGCTCAAAGGGGTGGGGTGGGAATTCAGCAAATACCATGAGTAATTATGAGTGATAAACAGTACAGTGGGTGAAACCTTTCTCTCAACTTGTGCACTGATCCTCATCAGTGGATATCAATGAAAGATGGAAAAACTTCTTAATGATAGCAGGAAATATGAAAATGAAATGGGAATTTATTAAAGGGAAAAGCTTCAGTCAGTAGTTAGTACAGATCTCATCTATCAGAACGGACCAATTTTGAGCGCATACATTAAGCACCTCTTCCTCTCGTCCTCTGTCTTGTTGCCATGAGATTATGCAAATTAGGTATACACATCCAGGTGCAGCTGGCTACAACTTTGGAAATAAAAGAGAGGTGGCACAGCCTGGTTACCATCTTCGGGGTTGCAGGATCTGGAAAAGCAATCCACCGGCATTGTGAGATTGTGAGATAAATGTTAAATGAAAATATGTGAATGAACCCCTGGAATTTATGAATGAGAGTTAGGGAGGAAGACAGACTCTGGAGGTTCATGAATGAGGGAAGCTATGAATGGGCTTGACTCATTTTTGATTGTATCAAGGAGATTGGGGGTGCTTAGCCATTTCATTCTAGACTGACTTCCCCAAGGCAATATGCTTAGTAAAGAGATTGTGCAAATTCCTTATGTTGTATAGCCAATCTGCTTCCCAGAATGAGTTTTAATGAACAATGAAAAAGGTGCTGAACATTGTAAGGCGGTGGCTTTGTCAGTTCATGAGGATTCATATAACTTTGTACAATTCATATTTTGGGGGGTTCGATTTCTTGATAACATACCTGACAATGGTATCTTAAACAATCCCACCCTTTTTTCGCCTCTAGGAATCTTAACAGCAGTGTCGTAACCCTCTCTTGGCTTTTTGCCTTTTTTACTGCCTCAAGAGTGCTGCAAACATTACTTCAGTGGTGCCTGGATATGTACCTAATACACCAAGTAGATCCTTTGAGTGTCTTTTATACCTCTTCCCCACCAATGACATCTGACACATGGCCCTTCCAGACAGGGCCCAAAATACGGGGTTTGTCGGATTTTTACCTGAGGCATCCAAACGACAACTCAGGGAAACGTGAATTAATTTGAGACAAAGCAGGAAACCCCACTTCCTCCTGAATTATTTAGATACCTAATTAGATCCGGGCCTTTCTGAAAGGCCCAGTTCCAATGCGGTATGGGCACTGTGGGTCTCTATGGTAACTAGGGAAAGGCAAGTTACTGTGCATTATTACTGTAGATGGTTTAGATCAGGGGTTCTCAAACTAACGCCCGGGGGCCAGATATGGCTTCCAAGGTCATTTACCCGGCCCTCGCTCAGGGTCAGCCTATGTCTGAAACGGCTTGAAAGCACAACAACAACAATCCTATCTCATCAGCCAAAAGAAGGCCATTAAGCTATCTGGAAAGGATGAAATATATGCCACGTTATGAAGTCTGGCAATATAAAAAAATCTGCTTGACAATATCAATGTAAGCATCAGGCACACCTCTGAGACTCACTTTCGCAGCTAGCGACTACCACTGGAAATGTTAGAGCCGTCGCAAACTCTGTTCCTGCGGGAGCAAACCTTGCTAGCACGTCCCTGACGTCATGAGCCTGCGCCTCTCTCCCCGCCCCTTTCTCCGCCCCTTTCTCTTTGCCAGCGTGGTTTTTCCTTTGCTAGGGCAGCATTGCCCGCATTTTCTCTCAGTTGAATTCTGCCAACTGAGAGAGTATGCTGGCAATGCTGCCCTAGCAAAGGAAAAACCACTCTCGCAAGGAGAAAGAGGCGGAGAAAGGGGCGGGGCGAGAGGCGGAGTCTCATGACGTCAGGGACATGCTAGCAAGGTTTGCTCCCGCAGGAACAGAGTTTGCGACGGATTAAGACCCGTCGCAAACTAGCCTCCTGCAGGAGCAAACTGTGCCAGCACGTCCCTGACGTCATGAGACTCCGCCTCTCTCCCCGCCCCTTTCTCTGCCTCTTTCTCCGTGCCAGAGTGGTTTTTCCTTTGCTAGGGCAGCATTGCCAGCGTACTCTCGTTGAATTCTGCCAACTGAGAGAGTATGCTGGCAATGCTGCCCTAGCAAAGGAAAAACCACTCTGGCACGGAGAAAGAGGCTGAGAAAGGGGCGGGGCGAGAGGCGGAGTCTCATGACGTCAGGGACGTGCTGGCAAGGTTTGCTCCCGTAGGAGGCTAGTTTGCGACAGGTCTAACATCTTCCTAATCTCACTTGATGGAGAATGCTTCCAGAGTTTCCAAGGTTAGAAAAGGTGTATAATAGAATGTCCGAAAACTATAGAAGGCCCAGAGGCCAAAGCTATCACTTTGAATTGGACCTATACATAGACAGGGAACGGATAAAGAGGGCTAAGTAGGATATGCTGAAATTCAGCAGTCTTGGTGAGCAGCAGAGCAGCCATAGATTGAATTTTCTGTCTATGCTCAAAGGCAACAGACAATGCAACTGGAAATACGTTTGTCTCGGCTATGTTCTCTCTCTGTATTAATGAAAATAGAACAAATATTACTTTCACATAGTAAAGGCAGTTATACCCTGTCATTAAACCATCTTATTTCTGATATCTGCATTTGTTTCCCATCCTTTCTGTCCCACAACCCAGTTTTCATCTGCTAGAAGCAACCAGTGTTAGATCTTGTAAAATCACAGAGCATGAAGCAACTGAAGCATGCCAGAGATAGGACTGCCCACCTCTGTGTAAAAACCTCCAAGATGGAGGGAGTTCACTACCTATCACAGTAGTTTATTCCATGATTGAAGAGTTCTGTTCTGCCCCCCCCCCCCCCAAATCTAAACTGGAATCTCTTTTCTTCTCATTTGGAGTCATTGGTTTGTGTTAAAATTTTTGGGGGAGCAGAAAACAATATATATCTTTCAATATATGGCATCACTTCATATATTGAAAGATGGGCCGCGGTGGTGCAATGGGTTAAACCCTTGTGCTAGCTGAACTGCTGACCTGAAGGTTGATGATTTGAATCTGCGAGAGAGGGTGAGCTCCCATCTGTCAGCCCCAGCTTCCCATGCAGGGACATGAGAGAAGCCTCCCACAGGATAGTAACCTATCTGATGGCCCATGAGCAACCTCTCTGCAGGTGGCCAATTCTCTCACACCAGAAGCGACTTGCAGTTTCTCAAGTTGCTTCTGACATGATAAAAATATATATTTTAAAATCCTTATTATGTCACTGTTGTCTCCAAGATAAACATACCCAGCATGCTAAGCCACTCCTCATAGGGTTTGGTTTCCAGATCTTTGATTGTCTTCGACACAGTTCTCTGAACATTTCCAGCTTATCAATATCCCTCTTGAATTCATTAATACTATATTTACACAGTAAAACCTATCACGTCTCTTTAGTGGAAACAAGATGCCTTCAAGAAGAAAGGGATTGTTTGGCATTTAGGAGTGCTTTTTCTGTTATAAGTAAAGCATCTATGGATTTCAAGTAATATAATCCCCTATCAGCCATGTTGGCTGAGGGATTCTAAGAGTTCTAATCAGAAAAGCTTTGGTTACTAGCTATTAGTAACAGCACGCTGAAGAATGATCAGCTGGTATCTATAGTCATATATGTATAACAAAGGACCATTATCTGAGGGATAAATCAACACACAAAGGTCCCCTGACATAAATGCAGTTTCACCTTATGTTATGTTTTCTATTGCTGTTATTCCTGATAAGATGAAAGGAAATATGCATTTTATGGGGCAGCATAGTGAAGGTGATCTTTCCTTTTAGTATATACCCAGACCAAATGCACAATTTCTTTCACACTGAAGTTTCCTTTGGTCAAACAAGTCTAATTTGGTCATTTTTTGAATGCCACACTCACTATTGGTCCAGGGGAGGAAAAAAAAAACCCCGAGATTTCATCTCTGATGCATTTTCACTGCAATTTAGCAAGAGACGCCTAGGCCTGGATATTATGCGCATTAATATAGCATTTGAAGCCGAGTCACTTAGCCAGCCCCCCACTGCTTGTACTCCAAGTCACAAAGCACAAGTCCAACTTTTGCGCTTGCAAAAGGCTCATTTTAGACACCTTCCAATTAATATTTTATAGGTTTCAATTATGACTGCCTTATCAAGCCCACTGGGAAGAGAAGGCACAACAATTATTATAATAA